AGCCCTCTGCCCACTGTTGCAGGCCCTACAGACTGCCCTGGGCTTCCTCCAAACAAGAGCACATGTTTGTCACTTTTCTCCCAAGAACAGTGCTTATGTTCACTTGGCTCTTCACACACTGTTACACCCACTGGGGAATTTGCATATCACTCTCAGCTCTGCATGTGGAAGATAAAAGCTCAGCTGTGTTCTTGCCTTGACTGCCTGGGACGCCTCAGTCAGCTTCTCAGAATGAGGTGCCCTGCTCAGCTCCTGGGACTGGTTATGCTCTGGATCCCTGGTAAGGATAGATGGAGATGAGGACGGAGAAGGAGGTGGGAATGTGCACTCTAGACATCTATGATGCCCATGTTTACTGTGAGGTGTGCAGACCTTATCCTTCAGGATGAGCCTGGGAAGTTTACATCTGTGAGGGAGAGGAAGATTTCAGAAGGAACAAGGACCTGTACTCTGCTTAAGACTCTGGTACTGGTGGACAGAAATAGCATAGAGAACCCCATGGCCACTGTGCTTTGGCAACATTTTTTTATGCATTGAATTTTGTTAGACCAGGATAAAACATGACTACCAGGAACTAATAAAGAAATACAAAAGTCTCATTATACTTATTCATAACCTGACACTTCTCTCATCATTTTAGGATCCTGTGGAGACATTGTGATGACACAGACTCCACTCTCCTTGTCTGTTGCCCCTGGAGAGTCGGCCTCCATCTCCTGCAGGTCTAGCCAGAGCCTCTTAGATAATGATGGATACACGTACTTGTACTGGTACCAACAGAAACCAGGCCAGGCTCCATGGCTCCTGATCTATGAGGTTTCTAAGCGAGAAAATGGGGTCCCACAGAGGTTCAGTGGCAGTGGGTCAGGGACAGATTTCACACTCAAAATCAGCAGAGTAGAACCTGAGGACTTTGGAGTTTATTACTGTATGCAAGCTACACATGATCCTCCCACAGTGATACAGCCCTTAACAAAAACCCTGCTTGGTTTGGCCCATCTGCCGTCATGTGTTGGTTGTCGGGGAGCAGCATAACAGATGCTCTGGGACTTTGCATGAGGAAGAGTTTAAATGACTCAGTAGAGCATGTGACAGATGTTGTATCTGCTCAAGTGTCTCCTTGAAAGTTCTCCAGGTCCACTCTAAACTGCTCTGTGCTTGGCCTGAGACCAGCACACGACTAAAGAGGGACCAAGTGCCCTGAGGACAATCATGTCCGAAGAAGAAAGCTAACTTGTGTGACTGTCACAGTCCTCCCTGCCCTGTGCACATGCAGAGAATAAGCTCATGAATTGTAGCCACGGACTTTAGAATAAGACAGATCCATTCTCAAATGACTACGTGCTTTTAAAATTTCAGTTTTGTTTTTGCTGATTCATTTCATTCTTCCTCCTGGTTGAGTAGTCAGAGGAATTTAAAGAGTACATGCAGCCGTTGGCTGTTTGGTGCTGTTAAGACTCTGCTCTCCTCTCTGCCCCAAATTTGTAATTTCTACTTTCTCATAGAAAATATTTTACTGTAATATGGAAGAAATAAAGCACTGGAAATACTGATCTCAGCAACGTAAGGAAATCCATTCCCATGCTGAGGTTTCACATATCCGAAGCAACTTTGGTAAATTTACTCAAAAGCAAAGGCCTGGTGTTAAAATGTTCAGATGAGTCTGATACACCATGTTGAAATAGTGTAAGCATTGTTTAAATTCCAAACTCAGAGTGTAAGCATTGTTTAAATTCAAAACTCAGTGCATTAAAGTGAAGGACTAAGCCTGTAAAAATTGGAAACATGGAAACATGTTCATTAGTCAGTGGAACTTGAACGTTACAAACCTACAGTGGAGATTCTCCCAAGGAGACTCTGCAGACTCTCAGAGGACCTTCATAAACGAGAACAGGAGGGACCAACAGACACATAGCAGAGGTCAGCTGATGGCACAACAGCCAGCTTCAGGCTCACTGTTATTTGCTGTGGAACCCATGCCTGACACTTCATTAGTCTCAGAGTCGGCAAAAACATTGAGTAACCCTGAGGAGCAGATGGAGGCAATGACTTGCCACGTCCTGTAGCTAGGAGGTCCAGAGGGTAGAGAGAATTCCATTTGGATTTTTGGTACAAAGCCCCTCTGGCGAATTGTTAGATGTGGAGAAGGAGACTGATGGTAATGATAATAGGGAGAGAACTGAGGAGATTGTACACGATATCTCACCAGGAGTCAATACAGGACTGTGTTAACCAGAGGGCAGACAAGGAGGTCAGTCCAGTAGAGACATCAGAAGAGGGACAGAGCTGCAGAGGCGGTGATGAGTCTCACTGTCCTGGCTGTCAGAGGAGAACTTGGGTGGAAGTCCCAATAGCTGTTGCTATACTGAGGCAGTCAGGGATTCTTGCAAGTGGGGACCATGCAAAGTAACTAAACTCCCCACATTAAACAGCAGAAATTACTACTTCTCAAAATATTCAGGCATGTGTGGACACTTGGTCCAGGCGTGCCTTCGTTCCTTGCGGCCCCAAATCATCACTCTGGAATTACCTGACACTTGCTTCAAAGAGATAGCAATGGACTTTCAAATTTAGCCCAAAGGCCAACTCTGCCTTGGTTATGGGGTTCATAACCGTGTCATTCAGGACTTTGTGCCATTTTCCTGCCAATCCCCAGTGAAAAGATTTCTTTTATATTCAGTCATAATACTAACTTTTGAACATTCTGCAGATCTGGAAGCCCATTTGGTAGGCATGTGAGTGCATCTGAGTGAACAAGGACAGGAAAACTATTTGCAAAGGATGTGAGTGCCAGGTGCCCCTCTGAAATTCTTGGGAGCTCTGTGGTTGGGTAAGGCACAGATGATACTTACAAGCTGACTGGGAGACATTTGCCACAGTCTATGTGTATAAATGTTAAAGACTAACCAAAGGTGTGTTGTAAGAGTTAAAATGGGTGTTTCTACGAAGTTGTTGATGGGGAGAATCCCAGTGCTAGAACTGGGTTGTCTCTCTAATAGTTGTTGGCTGCAGAGGCCCTAGAATCTCCTAAGAGCTGAAAGGATGTTGCCATTGCTGTTGGCTGCAGTGTGGAGCCAGGTGGTATGACTCCATTGCTGAAGACATTGAACAAAATGGTAGCAGGACCTGGAGAAATAAGGGGAGGCCTGAGATGGGAGTGCTCCCTCCCTGTGTGCCAGCTCTTAGAGATTCAGAAGGTGCTTCTAAAGGTGCTGGGGTGAATTAAGGCCACAAATCCCACTCAACTTTGGATCTTCATGCGTCATGCTGGAAGTGTCAGGAAAAATGTGTCAGCTAGGACAGTAGTGACAAAAGTGACTATTTAGAAACCGCCTTCTGATGGGAGGTAAGGCCTGCTCTACAGGGAGCAGCTCACATCTGATACTGGAAACTCAGACAAACTCCATGGCCAGGGAAGCCATGGGCCACTGTGGAGACATAGCAGCTATTGCTTTGTTAAATGCTTCCCAATGTTTTTGTTTACAACCACAGGTTGTTATTGGTGACAGTGCACTTTTCAGTATTTTCTATTTCCCCGCATCGCCTCACTTAGGTTCTTTAGTAGGCGAGTCATCCTGAGACTCACCAGCAGATACTTTCTGGAGATGGAGGAGTTCATGGGGGGGTGGCAAATGAGTCCTGTACACTGCTAGAGATGGAGAAGAGTAGTCACATAACTATGTCACTCCTTCCTAGAGTTAAGGATTCTTGTGAAAGAGGGGTGGCTGGTAGAATGTAAGGTCTGGAAGAAGAGGATCAGGTGTTGTGTAGGACTGTCCTCCAAACTGCTGCCATCTTCATGGGTCTAGTGTGTCTGCTTGCAAAACATTATTACAACTGTGCTTGTTTAAGTTCCATCACAAAGGAAGGATGGGGTAGGTTCTGGGCCTCACTCTAGCTTTCAGCCTCTCCTCCCAGTAGTCACCTCTGTGTAATTCTGCCCTAATTCCACATGGCCTCAGGGAGGAGCTGGAGTATATAGCTGGGGAAGGACTAGCGGAGGGGACTCCTCTGTGCTGCTGTGGGTGAACATCTTCCTTCTGGGTACAGCTTTCCAGTGAGGCTGCTTTGAGATCATCCACACTCATTTCAGTAACTCCTCACCAGTGCTCTACAAGTGAGCCAAGAACACTGGTTTTTCCGCAGGAACATTCATAGAGTTAAATTTTGGTTCATAATTGGTACCTAAGGAGGAGGGGGATAGACATGCCCAGTTCCCCCCACCCCTAGGGAAAAAATTATTGCTATAATGTCTACATGATCCAAGCTCCTTCTGCCTACACTGTGAGAGAAAATAAGAGAGTTAGCAGAGCCCGGGGCCCAATTCCCTGTAAGAGTGCAGAATCAGCTATCACCTTGTGAGGCAGTGAAGAAGAGTCGGGAAAAGAGAAGCGTCCATTGCAAAGAGTGAAGGAGAGGAACCATTTCAGAAATACACTGATGTCTAGGATGTCTGTGAACCTTAGAGTAAAAGACAGTTGACACATAGAAAAGACAAAAGTCAAGTCACACACAGCTCCAGGTGCATGGCTTCCCAGTGGGGTGATGGGAAGCAGAAGTCTGGTATGAAATACAGTGCAGATAATACTAGGGAGGAGACTGACAGCCCCATGCTCAGGACAAGCCCGCAGCCATTACACACCCAAATCTAGTGTGAGTTTTGTTCACATTGTGGCAGATGAGTCAGCAGTGGAGGGAAATCCCATTTTTGTCACTTTATATGACTTAGAGGACAGGAGTGGGGACCATACTGAGAAAACACCTCCTGTTAACAACTGAGCCTCCCTGGGGACCTGAGAATAATAAAAACCACAAGTCAGGGATCCTGTTTTGACTCTGCCAGAGTAGAGACAGCCCTGGTAGGCTGTTGAGGAGAGAAGTTGGACTAGACACTACAAGCCCAAAAGTAAAGTTTTCAGGCGACTTGGCCCAGTGAGAGAAACACAAAGGGAGAGTGAGCTCCACCATCAGTGTCTCAGAACAGATCTCATTAACTGAGACTGAGCATGGAATTTGATATCCCTGAACATGTGGCCAGCTGGTGGAAACCTCTAGTCCTTCCTTTCTGTTTTTAACAACTAAGGGGACTGAGAACTCTGGAGCTCCAACAGGCTACTTGATATCCACAACTGTATCCCTCCAGATTGTGATATGGAGGTTTTGTACCTTAGGACATCTTTGTACTCAGCATTTAAAGAAATACTTTATTACTTTTATGTGTATGAGTGTATTGCTTGCATGTAGGTAGGTGCACCTGTGTCTTGTGATGCCACAGAGGTGAGAAGAGGGCTTATGGATTCCCCTGGAACTGGAGTTCCAGGACAGTCCGTGGGTGCTGGGAACCGAACCCGGGTCCTCTGCAAGAGCAGTCAGTGCTCCAGCCCCTACCTAAAATATTTTATTTATTACTTTCATTGTGTGTGTACGCCTGTATTGCATGCACGTAAGCGCTCTCTCTCTCTTTCTTTCTTTCTCTCTTTCTTTCTTTCTTTCTTTCTTTTTCCCTTTTCTTTTACTTTTTTTTTCTGAGACTGGGAGATTGATTCCTGGGACATACAATGTGGAAAGTCAGAACTGAGTCCAGCCACTTGTCCTCTGATCACCACACATGTGTCATGGCATGTACATGTAGTGTGGCATTCATGTGTGTATGCACACAATTAAATGTAATACAATATTTAAATAAAGTGTTATATTGGTTTTATTCCTCTTCATGCATTTAATTTTGTTTATATTTTATCACTGGTCAATCCTTTCCCCTTATTTTCCATCGTCTTTTAGGTACCACGTTTCTCCACCCTCTCTGACAGTTTCTGTAGTGTCTTGGCATGCTGAAGTAAAGCCATCTTTCAAGTTTTGTCGTTCTCCAGAAAGCCATCTACTTCCATTTTGAACTCTCTCATTTTTGATGAATTCTTTTCTGCTCTGTTCTCTCCTCGCTCTTTTCCCTCCACAGCATCCTCCCTCCTCTTTGTCCTTCATCTGTGGAACCTCCATCTTTCCCTCTCTTCCCCTTCGTCCCGCCCTTTGTCTCA